CTGACAGTGGCCAGCACCAGGTGCCCCAGAGAGGGTGGGCCGAAGACAATGATCAAGTGATTTGTCTCCTGCCATCCCTCTCCAGCCTCTGACAAACAGAGGCCAAGGACACCATTTTATCCCCTGGCTAATAGCCTTTTATGGACCTAACCTCCATGAAATTATCTAGCTTCTCTTTAAACTCTATTATAGTCCTAGCCTTCACAGCCTCCTCTGGCAAGGAGTTCCACAGGTTGACTACACTCTGTGTGAAGAAGAACTTTCTTTTATTAGTTTTAAACCTGCTATCCATTAATTTCATTTGGTGTCCTCTAGTTCTTCTATTATGGGAACTAATAAATAACTTTTCTTTATCAGCCCTCTCCACACCACTCATGATTTTATAGACCTCTATCATATCCCCCCTCAGTCTCCTCTTTTCTAAACTGAAAAGTCCCAGTCGCTTTAACCTCTCCTCATATGGGACCCGTTCCAAACCCCTAATCATTTTAGTTGCCCTTTTCTGAACCCTTTCCAAGGCCAAAATATCTTTTTTGAGGTGAGGAGACCACATCTGTACACAGTATTCAAGATGTGGGCGTACCATAGTTTTATACAGGGGCAGTAAGATATTCTGGGTCTTATTTTCTATCCCTTTCCTAATAATTCCTAGTATCCTATTTGCCTTTTTGACCGCCGCTGCACTCTGTGTGGAAGTTTTCAGAGAACTGTCCACGATAACTCCAAGATCCCTTTTCTGATTTGTTGTAGCCAAATTAGCCCCCATCATACTGTACGTATAGTTGGGGTTATTTTTCCCGATGTGCATTACTTTGCATTTATCCACATTAAATTTCATTTGCCATTTTGTTGCCCAATCACTCAGTTTGGTGAGATCTTCTTGGAGTCCCTCACAGTCTGCTTCTGTCTTGACTATCCTAAACAGTTTTGTATCATCTGCAAACTTTACTACCTCACTGCTTACCCCTTTCTCCAGATCATTTATGAATAAGTTGAAAAGGATTGGTCCCAGGACTGACCCTTGGGGGACACCACTAGTTACCCCTCTCCAATCTGAACATTTACCATTTATTCCTACCCTTTGTTTCCTGTCTTTTAACCAGTCCAGGGCTGTCTGTTGCAAACAGGGGCTGCTGGATTCAGCATGAACTGGGACCGAGCAGTGCTGGCTCGCGCTGGTCCAGGATGCTGCGCCTCTGCATTTTAAATGCAGTAAGTGCCCAGCAGCTCTTATTACATTTAAAACGCAGAGCCACTGCTCGGTGCCAGATCTTGGAGAGAACCCTGCTGTGGCCCTGCAGAGTGGTTGGTCCTTATCGACTTACTGTGCCAGCAATGCCCCACTGCAATGGATATTGGACAAACTGGTCAGTCACTTTGCCTGAGAAACAATGCTCACAAATGAGACATCAGACATCTCCACACAGAGAACCCTGTTAGCCAACATTTTAATCAAACTGGCCAGTCCCTTAAAGACTGACAACATGCGTCTTACTTCAAAGACACTTTAACACCAGATTACAGAGGGAGACTTCAGAACTTTTATTTATGCTAAAATTCGACACAGTTGCGAATGGGCCTTAATTTAGATGATCATTACATTACAAAAGAAAGGACTGTGTAGCACTTTAAAGACTAACAAGATGGTTTATTAGGTGATGAGATTTCGTGGGCCAGACCCACTTCCTCAGATCAAATAGTGGAAGAAAATAAAACTCATCACCTAATAAACCATCTTGTTAGTCTTTAAAGTGCTACCTAGTCCTGTTTTTTGCTTTAGCTACACCAGACTAACACGGCTACATTTCTATCATTACATAACAAAGACAGCCTCCCCACCAACTCCAGATTAGCCTCTTAATTGACTCCTACAATAAGCAATTTCCTCCTTCCTTGTCTCCACCTTCTGATTCTATGTAGCTGATTCATTACTGTATAATTTGTTTACTTCTTCATTGTATCCCTCTGTTATATAATGGTCATGCCAATTCACTTTCAGAATATGATCTGAAGACGCGGGTGTGCCCCACATGTGAAACTTTTCAATTGGAAAAGGTAACAGGAAAGAAAGCAGTATCCTAACCTAGAAAATGAGTTGAGGCCTATAACTAGCTGATCATATGGACTGGGTTTTAAGTGACAATTTAAAGACTATTGTAACAGAATTACTTTAAAAGCACAGAAGTTTTTGATTACTTCAAAACTGATGCCAGCTGCAAGGCTGCCTGGGGTGCATTGTACAGGCTGATCCTCTCTAGGCCGGCACCCTCAGGACTGACCAGTGCCAAACCAGAGAATTTGCCAAATCCCAGGAGGTCAATATTGTCTAGCAGCATTACCAACACTGCCACTGCTTACTGGGCTCTGCCTGCCGCATTCATGAGTCCCTTCTGGAAACCTCCATTCCTACTAGTCATCACTGCCATCCATTCCAGAAAAGTAAGACCGTACCCAGTTTGAACTCAGTTCCATTTAGACGACCTGCACAGTGTATCTGGGATCCTCAGACTGTATTTACTGCTGGCCTGCATCATTCTGAGATTTCTGGTCCACTACCAAGTAATTAGAGCCCTACAAATCCACAGATACCCACAGACACAAAGTGGATATCTCATATCTGCAGAAGCAGATATGAATATCATAATACTAGAACTGGAAGGGACCTCGAGAGATCAAGTTCTGTCCCCTGCTCTCACAGCAGGACCAAGCTGTGGTGATGTCTATATCATCCCTGACAGGTGTCTGTCCAACTTGCTCTTAAATGTCTCCAGTGATGGAGATTCCACAACCTCTCTGGGCAATTTATTCCAGTGTTTCACCACCCTGACAATTAGGAAGTTTATCCTAAAGTCCAACCTAAACTGCCCCTGCTGCAATTTAAGCCCATTGCTTCATGCCCTATCATTAGCGGTCAAGGAGAACAATTTTTCTCCCTCCTCCTTGTAACAACCTTTTAGGTACTTGATCCACAACTCGTTTTTGCCGATATGGATGCAGATACAAAGTTTGTATCTAAAACCCTGCAAGTCTGTTGATATCCACGGGTATCCACATCCACAGCTGTCAATACAGCTATCCATGGCTCATTTTTGGGGATACGGATGCACGTACAAATTTTGTATCCCCGCAGGGCTCTACAGGTAACACACTGGAAGGAGAGGCAAAATATTTTGAGAAGCCACTGCAGGTTAATAGATTAGCCAACCAAAAGGGACAGCAGGCACAACCACAATCCACACATCATCATAACTGTTCACTGTTCCAGACTGCAAAGCCATAGACAGAAAGGCAATCACTCAGTTGAGAAGTACTGATGCAAGTTAGCACTGCTGGTGATGTCAATAGTGACTGTGTATTTTGGCAGTCAGAATCCACACTGAGTTGAGAGAAAGGTAGACTGGGCCTCATGGCTGATAGTTGAATAGCATATTAGATAGCGGGTAGAAACAATGTTTCCTACCTGTGTATATAGCGTAGCTCAGTGGTCCCCAACGTGGTGCCTGTGGGCGCCATGGCACCCATAGGGCCATTTCTGTGAGCCCGCTGAGTGATCGGGGCCAGCCCCGCCCCCAGACACGTGGCACCCGGCGTGTGAGTGGCCCCGCCCCCGGGCACCCAGCAGCCCCAAAAGGTTGGGGACCACTGGCGTAGCTTATTGTCCAATCTTCTGAGCACAGTGGGAAACTGGGATGGAGAGGCTTGGAAGGTTTGGCTTAGGAGGCAAGATGTGAGCCTGGCTGTCAAGGTATACTGGAGGTTACTCCACAGGTGACGGGTGGTGGCTAGTGACCGTGATGATACGCAGCCCAATTAGAAATGGACTAGTGAGTATCTGGTCTATTAAAGGTGGCTGACAGCTGCTGAGAAGTTGGCTGTGGAACCTCAGTCACAAGTGTTCTCGGAGATATTTTCTGCTATAGTATTCATTCCAACGGTGGTAGGATTAACAGAGATTGATTTAGCAGCCTCGCTGTCCTGATGACGTTCTCTTTTCTAGGAAGCAGATACAGCTAGACAGATGTGACCTAGCCAACTGCAACTCAAGTAGACACTGCCCCCCAAAATAAAGGGATTCTTTACTGGCAAACAATTAAAGAGAGAAGCATGAGCTCAAAGCTACATTTGGTTTCAGAGCAGGAATTCTGGAGGTTTGACCCTTAGCTCAATAGTACTTACCAGACACTGAACAATCCCAGCTCCTCTCCTCAACTATTTATTTCCAAGTCATATATCCCTATCAAGGCAGTTTCCTCCCATTCCTCAAGCCCAGAGATAGCTCAGTGGTTTGAGCATTGGCCTGCTAAACCCAGGGTTGTGAGTTCAATCCTTGTGGAGGCCATTTAGGGATTTAAGGCAAAAATTTGTCAGGGATGGTACTTGGTCCTGCTGTGAAGGCAGGGGACTGGATTTGATGACCTCAAGATCCCTTCCAGTTCTAGGAGATAGGCAACCTCCATTAATTTAATCCTGGGTACACTATCTTAGACTGCTGCTCAGGCGATCCCTTCCAGTTCTAGGAGATAGGCAATCTCCATTAATTTAATCCTGGGTCCACTACCTTAGACTGCTGCTCAGGTTCATTACAGCCAATGGCTTTGTGATTTACTCCAATCAGTGGCCTATCCCACAGCTGGGATATTAATACTAATTAACATTTTTGGACAGTGTGGTTATATGTGCAGCACTGCAATGCAGCCTGAACTAAAGACAATGGCTCTTTTTCAAAAGTATGATGCAATCTGCCTGCCAAGCTAGACTAAGCCATCAAAAGCCACCTGGAGCTGCTACATGGCGCTGAATTAGATTCAGACAGCTCAAGCCTCCTCTTGTGTAATTCAACAAACTTCACTGCAATTAGTCCCTAAGCAAAAGAAGAAACCAGACACGCAATTCCCTTCTAAAAGCAGGGCACAGCTCAACTTTCCCAGTGCATTTGTTTTCTGCTTCAAGCACAAGGCTCAATCCTTAATTCTTGTAATGTTTAATCGCTGTTCAAAACAGTGATACATGACTGCCACCTTTCCCATGTATCACTGAACCTGTGCAGCCAGACTGCATGTAGGTTTTAGCTGCATGTCTTTTAACCTGTATTCAGACAGTAGTGTCAGATCAGGAAAGCCTATTGTTCTGACAGATCCCTGCAGTACTGGCCTCATTAGTTTAGGCAACAACTGGTGTGGCTAAGAGCTGCCCGTGTGTTTGTATGAGAACACCTGGCCTGTGCTAAACCTGCTGTGGTTCTGAATTTTCAGGTGACAGCTCTGTGCATAGAAACTCTGAGCTAAACAGGCTTCAATGATCTCCATCTGCATGCCCTGTTTCCCAGAATGCTCTATCACCTCACAACCATTAGAGATGGGGTAAGAGCTCTGAGAAGGCAGTTTAGATTGGAGTGCTACTGATAAAGAGCTTCTTTTGTGTAGGATGTTTGTGCCAGAGTTGTTGGAGATTTCCCCCATTTTAGCCTCCAGGTCTTTCATGAGCAAGGGCTGCACATCATATAGATGTTTGGGATATCACAAGTGGAAAGGTCAAAGATTTCCTGCCTCACAGAAGCATTGCTGGGCCATAGGTCACAGTCCATTTACTTGGCATAAAAACTTGCTCTGGACACTTGAAAGCATAAATGGCGTTCTCTTATGGCATAGCTTCCCAACAGGTCCTGTATAGGGCCTGATCCTCAGTCCATTGAAATCAATGGGAGTCTCCCACGGACCTCAGTGGGATTTGGATTATGCACATACACAAACATCAGAAACGTTTAGATTTTGAGTGGTGTTTGATAGTCATGGTCCCCTGCAAAAGTCAGTAAGAGTAACTATGCCCTCCCTCTGAGCTTGGGACCTCACATCCTGTGTTGTGCCCATATTAGCATTCTAAGTGGAAAGGCTCTTGAGGAGCAAGTATTTCCCCATGTTAAAAACCAAGACTGAAGAGAGTTAATATTTAAAATTCAGGTTTCAGATTGGAAACACCCCCAACCCAATAACTGATTACTAAGACAGTCAACGCCAAGACATTTTGGAAGAGATTATTAAAAGTCAGGATTTTCCTTTACCTAAAACTACCATCTCCACTCTTTGGATACTATCCACTTACAGAAAATTAAGCGTAATGAACAATTGGAAAGACAACGCATCTTTGATAAGACAGTCTTTAAATAGAGTGCATAAGTCTGAGTAACTGTTCTGCTCACGACATCGTGGGCAATGCGCTAAGTCAATGACTCAGGGGAACTGTACAGCATGCTGCTAAGCTGCCCTAGACAAAAGACAGAACAAGAATTTTTGTGCAGAAGGGTTATGTAGGACAATTTTAAATTATTACTCATAGTTCAGTCTTACAGTGTTAATACAGAACCTCCATTACTGCTTAACGCTCCCCTCAAAGTAATATGCCACCTCTTCTCATCTACTGCAGCTTCATTTTGGGTCACCCTCTACATTCTGCTGTAGCCTAAAGAACTTTATTACCCTCAAATAAGTCAACAGTTTGTGCATATAATTTCAGAACTGCCTAAAACAAAGGTGTTGCTTTAGTGCAAGCCTGAACTGATGTTTTGAGAGAAACATCCCTCCCCCAATACCAAAGGGAAATTCCCCTTCTTACTCTGAAGTAGCCATTATTGTAAAACTCTAATTTACCTCCATCTCACACAAGCCCCATCTCACCTGTCATCCTCAAATACTTACAGAGAAGTTAAGTCATAAAACTGAGGTGAACTGACATTTCTATTAAAGCCACCAAGGCAACTGCTTTTAAAGAAACATCTGCACTCTTAATTCTTGTGGCTCACATCCAGCTGGGCAGTCAGCTTTGTCCTACCAGTGGGGTCTTAACAGGTTGCCGAGGGATACTTATTACAAGTTATTTCACATACATGCTTGCAGGGTTGATCCGAGGAGTCACGGACACAGAGTTATGGGGTGGGGTGGGGTATCTTTCATTGGACCAGCTTCTGTTGGTGGAAGATACAAGCTTCCAATCTACATTTAGCTCTTCTTCAGAGGACCTGGTGGGGCAGGTGGGCCGAAGAAGAGCTCCGCGTGGCTCAAAATCTTGTACCTTCCATCAGCAGACTCTGGTCCAAGACAAGACATTTCCTCCTCCACCTTGTCGCTCATTTCACAAATCAGTAATCATGATTTCACAAAAGCGACGAATAGTCCCGTGGCACCTTACAGATTAACAGATTTAGTCAAGCATAAGCTTTCATGGGCAAAGACCCACTTCGTCAGATGCTCCAACAAATCTGTTCGTCTATAAGATGCCACAGGACTCCTTGTCGCTTTTGCAGATTCAGATTAACGCGGCTACCCCTCTGACACATGATTTCACAGAGACCTGTAACTTTAGCCCTGGTCTGCATAAAGCATTTAGACTGAGCAAGCTACACAAGTGCCCACCCGGCGTGCGGCCAGATCTGAATCCCCTCTGCCCCTGCCCAGAGTGGCACCCACATACCCCCACTATCCCACAATCCCCTCTGCCCCTGCCCAGAGTGGCACCCACATACCCCCACTATCCCACAATCCCCTCTGCCCCTGCCCAGAGTGGCACCCACATACCCCCACTATCCCACAATCCCCTCTGCCCCTGCCCAGAGTGGCACCCACATACCCCCACTATCCCACAATCCCCTCTGCCCCTGCCCAGAGTGGCACCCACATACCCCCACTATCCCACAATCCCCTCTGCCCCTGCCCAGAGTGGCACCCACATACCCCCACTATCCCACAATCCCCTCTGCCCCTGCCCAGAGTGGCACCCACATACCCCCACTATCCCACAATCCCCTCTGCCCCTGCCCAGAGTGGCACCCACATACCCCCACTATCCCACAATCCCCTCTGCCCCTGCCCAGAGTGGCACCCACATACCCCCACTATCCCACAATCCCCTCTGCCCCTGCCCAGAGTGGCACCCACATACCCCCACTATCCCACAATCCCCTCTGCCCCTGCCCAGAGTGGCACCCACATACCCCCACTATCCCACAATCCCCTCTGCCCCTGCCCAGAGCGGCACCCACGGCCCAGTGCCCTCCACCCACACCCCCAGTATCCCATAATCCACCACCTGAGCCCCTGCTAAACCCTACCGCCCCACCACAGCCCCCCGGAAGTACCACCCCGTCAGGCCTGTAGCCAATGACCAAACAGGATTACCAGGATGGACGAGTAAGGCAGCCAATCAGAGCGTAGCCCAGCGCTACAGGCAGTCCCGGTGACCAATCGGGGCTCAGAGCTGTCCCGCCCAGACTCAGCGCCTCACCTGTTTCTCGTCGCCGGTCTGTTCGGAACGGCTGTCGGTGTCCAGTTTGTCCGACATGGCGGGGCAGGGAGGGGAAGAGGGACGTGGCTGAGAGCCCGGCGGCCAGGATGACATCACAACCAACCAGTCAGAGCCCGCGGGAGGCGGGATGGAGGCGGGATATGGAGACGAGACAGATAGAGCAAAGGGCCAATGGGAGTGAGGCATGAGCAAGCCGGGCAGGGCAGACCTTGGGAATGACGGAAAGGGAGAGGGACCAATAAGAGACAGGATGACATCACAACCAACCAGTCAGAGCCCGCGGGAGGCGGGATGGAGGCGGGATATGGAGACGAGACAGATAGAGCAAAGGGCCAATGGGAGTGAGGCATGAGCAAGCCGGGCAGGGCAGACCTTGGGAATGACGGAAAGGGAGAGGGACCAATAAGAGACGGAGGGGCGGGGATTCAGTGGGGGCGGGGAAGGTCTTGGACTCGCCCCTGCCTCGAGCAGTAGTAGCCTGGGGGAGGTGGGACTCGCTCTGGCCAGGCCTGGAGGCCCGCCCCCATCGCCTGGGACACGCCC